GGAGGATTACTGGTAGTTGGGATGGAACATTCTCCTTTCAAATACTGAGAAGAAACTGGCCTGTCTGAAGAAGAAGTATTGTGTTGGGGAACAATGAGAAGTAAGGACTGACTACAAAGTGGATTCAGAGTATGAAGAACCTTGAACTCTGTGGCAATAGAGTCCACTCTGGAATATCCAATCAGACAGATGTGATTAGTAAGAGAGAGCTAAAACTACCCAGTTGAAGGGGTGGGGGTGGAAGGTGACCAAGGGCAGGGTGACCAGTTACAAACCAATGTTGGAATTCGTGGTGAGGTGGTGGGCAGTAGCAAAAGGAGTGGGCATCTCCCTTCTTCAAAGCATTAAAATCAAAGAGAAGGGGTCAGACCAGGTCTCGGTTTCCAATCTTGTAACTGTGTGAACAGAAAGATTGAGTTTGAGGTCTTAGCAGGGCACCCAAGTGAAATCATCTTGTGAACAGTTCAGGACACATTAAAACCAAATTTGGGCATAATTCAGTTGGCATCTGGATGCCCCCGAGTTCCCACTAGCCAGCTGCACAGGTTCACCCCACTGTTTCATTAATCTCTCAGTAATGTGATTGAATTTTTTGGACTCATAATAAGATTACTTTCCTTCTGGGAAGCTCCTTTAACAGAGAAGCACAACCAGAATGTACAAGTAAAATGATGCTAACTAGTGGCCTTAGTGACCTCAAGTAAATATTGCCATTTTCAAAGAGCCATCCTGAGAGACTTCAGCTTACTGGTGTTTATTTCTGTATGTAGGTGGCATGATCTGTTGCTTATTTAATATGAAAAAACCACTTAGACCCAGCACACACATCCCTACATACATCACCAAATTCTACACCTAGGAAGTATCAAACAGCAGTGCACAGTAATCTAGAGTTTGTATTTAAAATGCAGACTCCTGTCCCGATCCCAGAGATCATTGCACTGGTTCTGGTGGAGCCCTGAAATCTGCATTATTAACAAGCCCCCTAGGCGATCCTGTTGCGGAGAAACACTGCCTTCATTTCCAGGTGTTAAATTAAGCTCTCTCAGCCAGTGCGCCTGGTCCATTTTAAAAATCAAACCAAACCCATTGTAGTCGAGGTAATTCCAACTCATAGCAACCCTATAGGACACAGTAGAACTGCCCCATAGGGTTTACAAGGAGAAGCTCGTGGATTCAAACTGTCAACCCTTTTGGTTAGCAGGCGAGCTCTTAACCACTGCACCACCAGTGCACCAGCTGGTCCATTTTAGGTGCTCAATAAATATGTAGTCTATTGAATTAATGTGTGCCCAACCTTAATGGTAACAAGGTGCGTGTTACGGCTTCTTGGATACCTAAACATATCAAACTTCGTAAGAAAAGCCATAATTTGAATTATCCCACATAAAGAGAATATAGCAAGTTGCTCTGTATACGAACTTGACTTTAAATCAGCCAAAACTGAGGTTCATCTCTACTTTGAGAAGTCAGTAGCCCCCAACCAACCAATTTCTTCACTTTTGCATTTACCACACTAGTAAAAAAAAAAACAAAAATCTCAGCATCTCCACTGGGGGTTTCAAAGATGGAGAAGAAAAACTCATTATCCAATAAAATCCAATGTGATATGAAATTGTACTATATTCATTTGTTTAAATTCTACTACAAATGGGATTTCCAGGTTATGTGCTCCTCCCTATGTGATTCTGGGCCTTAAATGCTGAGCTAGGTTCAGAAGATAGTTTTTGAATCCTTGCTGCTTCTTTAATACTATTGTTATATATTTATTGATTTGTTAATTGAATGCATTAACTTTTAGGATGAAAATCAAATACTATATGACTTCTTGTCAGTGACTTTCAATAGAATATTTTTTTTAACCCAGAAAGTGTCAAGGGCTCTAGAAAAAAAACAAAAAACAAAACAACTGGAAATTTATGAGAATTTCATTTAAAGGCTTTGCTTTAAAGTTTGGTAATATGAATTAATAAAACATATAATCCACAAATGTCTTCTCACATTTTGTACTAGACTTCACTGTACACTTTCTTTTAAAGGTGTCTAATTAACTCTTTGTTCATTCATGTTTTCGTTCCTTTTACCTCCAAGCATTTTAATTAGAGATACTTGCATGTATATTTCTAAATATGTTTTAAAACCTCCAAAATTGATTATTTAAATCATTTTTATACAAAATTTTATCAAGACCAATTTGGTCTGCAGAGTTACTTGTAAAGAAGCAACACTAGGTTGTTATTTTAGGAGTGTAACTAATACCCAGGTATTGTTTCCCAGCACTTCCTAGTAACCTTCTAAATACTGAGCAATGTATATACACACTAGGGGGTGGAAATTCATCTGAACTATGCACTTAATAACTGCTCAAACATTCGTGCAGATTTATGAGCCTAATATCTTCTTAGGCATCTCCCTCAAAGCAGCTAATTTTAAACTTTTAGTTGAATCCAATAACCCATCAAGTAATTATTAAAATACAGTTTATGAAAACACATTGATGCTTAGATAGAGACTTCAGATATGAAAAATCTTAAGGTGGGTAAAGAAAATGCCATACTTTAAGAGATTTTAAAGTAGTTACTTCCTGGATGTCTTTTTTTCTCCAAACATTAGACGAAGTTGCATTGTTTACAAAAATTTATTCATACAAATTTTACACACTTTATATAACAGTTATCAAAGTCCTAGTTATAGATATCATGTGTGTAATAATACTTGGTTAAGATGTTTTTATAATCAGTTGCACACAAAGTAAGAGCTTCAAGACTAACATCTACCTAAATTATCACTATATCATAAATTCGTTCCAGCTTAGTAAGGCTCTTGGCATTTCTAAAAAGTATACAAAAGATTAAACTGGGTGATCAGTGTAAAATGCTTGCAACTAGCCACAGGAACACTAAATTAGACTTCATAAATAAAAGTTAACTAGAGCCCTATTTCACCACTAACAGCTGACACAGTTACAGAAACTCTGCCCATTATCCAAGAAACAAACAAGACTAAAATGCAAGCTGATGTGTTGCAGCATTGTAGGGCCACTAAATAGCCATCTGTGATTCGTGGCGATTTAAAAGGCGAAGAAAGGCACTAAAGCTGCAAACTGCATCCCATATAACATCACACTGCCTGAGGAGACTACAGAATTAAAGAAAGATTGATCCCATACACAGGACTCAGGCATGGATCGAATGCCTCTGTGTTCCCACTGTTTGCAATGTGATCTCCTGGCAGCCTCTATCCCGCCTGGGAATGCAAATCCAATTCTGTTTTCTTTGATTTATGACTTCATACTGATCAAATCCGTAAAGGAAAAGGAAAGGTCCTTTAAACTTTACAAGCTAATTTTATTCTTTTCTTGTTCTTTGTTCTTTTTCTTTTTTTTCCAAAAAACATCCGTGCCTGCAATTTGGGAGAGTGGCTGGTTGGTTTGTCTGTTGTTGCTTGATCTGGTTGCTGGGTGAAGGTTCTTTTGTTTATAGAGATTACTCTATATGTGGAAGGAACTGGCAGGAAACAGACATGCTTTCTTTTGCCAAGAAAGTATATAAGGGGAGGTTCTCAGGGTCTGTTGGAGCTTGCTTACCTCACTCTTGACCACAAATATAAGATAGTACTCATACATATGAAGACGAAATTTCAATGATTTATCAGTTACTAAAACTGAGCAACATGTGAACACTACACATTCTAATATGACAAAGGTTGGTTTTATGAAATAAATTTTACTAAGCAGTAAGCCATAATGTAGAAAAATACATTTTACCTACAAACTCAATAAACAAGAAACAAGAGATTCATAGTTAGTGCATAATTACTTAGTGGTTAACTACACAGGGGTTCCTAAATTTTACAATAAGTACTTGCATAAAACAGAACCAAAAACACTGAGCAGCATTCACAAGTTTAAGAAAGTGGTAAACCGTACTTAAACAGTGCGGGAAGTTGGGAAGCAAGCGGTCTCCAGAAAACCACAAAGGAAAAGAAGGGGTGGCTCCTACAGAGTAGGGCTCAAGGGGAGGATCCTGGCCACTTCACAAGATGAGAAGCATGAACAGCACTGGAGAAAAACACATTGTACTTTGCGTCCATTTCCAATACCCAGCGCCCAAAGTCAGTTAAGTAACGGACCTACAAAGGGGACTCAGTTTGCCCTGGCTTCCCAGACCTGGGACAGTCACAAACCAGTCCCTCTCCAGGGGTCCTCCTTCTACTGCCTTATGCTCTGCCTCTTCCATATACCTATATTTCCTTTGCTTTGTCCAATTGCCCTAACCATGGGATATTAGGTTCCCTGACGAATCAGGAAGTACAGAAAAGGGGGCTTGCAACCCAAGCCTTCCTTCTCTCTACAGTTCCCCAACTCTTCCCCCAGGGAGTGGCGTGAAATCTGGGGAGAAGCATAATTTGGATCAAGCTGCTGTTTTATCAGAAGAATTTCCTTCTGGGCTGATAGCTTGAAGAGAGACAAATACACCTAAAAGTGGAATCAAAGAAAGCAGAAATATTGGAATTGCCACCCAGCAAGGGCGATAGTGCCTGGTTGTGTTAGGCTGGGATTGAAGCAGCCTGCCCCAGGGACTCACCGAGGAAAGAATGGCCTTCAGCAAGTCTCCCAAATCATTACCTCATCATCCCCCTGGGGCAGGACATCATTGTTTATGTACAGTAACAAATGGTCAGTAGTAATATCTTCACGCCTATTGTGGATAAAAATACTATCCTTTTAATTCCAGTTTACAAAAATAGGAGTAATATTCAAAACAATGATTGTCTATTTGTCTATTTATTTTATATAAAAACATAAACAGCTCAGGCAAATTTTCAATCCTTGTGCACACTTGATATGAATTGCTCTCTATTATATACCCATAATATATATGTATTTATAATATATACCAATAATTGGTTCACAAAGTATATCTGTGCATTCTCTAGTGCTTTGTACAAAAGAAAAACAATATTATTATCAAAATATTCATTTAATGGCTTTACTTCATACATAAACACGTTTGAATAGAATACATGAGCGATGACTGTTCGGTCAGTTTGGAAAATGACTTTTCATTGTGTTAGTTAGGGATGTATACACAGAGTAGCTGGTAACTCACCGCTACAAATACGCTATTCGGCGTCCTTTGTTTTTAACTCTTTGTTTATACCTTTTCCCTAAGACGGCCGCCAAGTATTTCTTGACAGCCATTTGTTTCCGGTAACGGCTGTAGCTGTCCGTGAAGATTCCGTCCGAGTGGCGCTTGGAAAGCGGCTCTGAGTCGTCGTCTGCACCGCCGCCTCTGTTCCCACTGCAAGGAGAGGGTTCGGGTGAGGATGGTGGGGCGGGAGACATAGATTTAATAGCTGCCAGGAGCAGGCAGGCCCCACCCGACGCGGGAGCCTTCGAAGAGGCACGGGGTTCTCACTGCCAGTACCAGGCTGGAGGGAGGGCCGAGCTGGCAACCCCTCAGTTCCTCCTCCCCACTGAGAGTTTCCTCTCTCCTTCCTGAATCCTTGCAGAAGGGGCCCTGGATGAAGTCCTGGCAAACGGCAAGAAATTTAAGCCTAATCCGCTGAAAACGCTGCCCTTTGAGACTTGACCATCCGTGTGTTTGTGTTGGATTGTCATAACTGTTCCTCTCACCCCCCACGTACAAAAAAAATAACCAAAGTTCCCTAAATGCCACGTTGTCTGCTGCCGTGTTTACATCTATCCTGCAATTCCTAGTCAGACATGAGCACTCTCCTTCCGCACGCTAAGTTGAAAAACGTGATAAAAATATAAGTCGACAGGCTGTAGGCAATATTTTTCACCGCATGAATTATTCATTGCGAAAATGTAATCTGGTTTCCCATGGGTTTTATTAAAATGTTGCCTTCTGCTGAGATATGCTCCACGCAAGCCCTGTGCTTTGGGCTTGTCTAGCAGAAGCAAAAGCTGTTTGTTTCCCTAAGTGTCTAAATTTGGGGATTTGTTTGTTTCAATTTTAATTTACACTAAAAGAAAAAAATGTTTAAGACACACTTAGAGGAAATTATAGCAATTCCTCCTGCGAAGCGTGACGGTTTTGAATTACTGGAGGTTTCTGTTTGGTTTTTCTTTGAATTCAAAACGGGATCAAACTCCGGGATTCCCCCGTCTTTCCTTCCCTCCCCAGGATCTCGAGGTCTCTCGCCAAACTTAGGGTGCCGCTTCAGGACCTTCGAAGAGGGCCACTCAGACAACGGGGCGCACACGTACACCCGGCCCCACGTGCACGCAAGGACGTAGAAGCCGCGCCGCCCGCCCGGCGCGCACTCCACACTGACACCACTCCCGGCGCGCGCGCCATCACGCCCAGGTTAACTCTTTCGCAAGCTCTTACCCCAGGTCCTTGGCCAAGAGCGACTGCAGGTACTTCCTGGCAGACAGCTGGTCCAGCACTTTTCGGTAGGCCTTGTTAAGGATCCCTCGGGCGACATCTCTAACGGGGAGGTAAAGTGCGCGCCCAGGGTCACTGACTCTGGCCCCAAGTGGCCGAAGTTCCCCCGCTGGGCGGGAAGGCCCCTCAGCGCCCCCGGAGGCTGACGGCGAAACCCCTAGATGCACACAACTCGTGAATAATTCTCTTAGGTTGTGTCCAAGAGGGAATGCCAGGTCCTGGCCTCCGGGAATGGTAGGTGAGGAGTATCGGCGGCCCTTTAAACGGGGTGCGCACTCATTCCCACTTATTGGGCCACAGACCTCTTGGTTCCCACGCGTACACGCAAGCCTGCCCGCTACTAACGTTCTGTCGCTTCCGCAGGAACCGGCCAGGGAAAAGATAGGCGTAAGGACTTTCGTGAAACAAACTCAGCGCTGCACCACCACCACCCCCACTTCAGTCCTGGGCTGCCCCGCCCCGGGCGCGGGGACCGCTCTGGCCGTACCTCTTCTCCGCAGGGTAGTAGAGCACGGATGCGTCGTGCAGCGCGGAGGCGGGGCTCCTTACGCCGGGCGGGTCGGAATCGTAGAAGTCTTGCAGCAGGTTTCCGTCCTCGTCATATACCTCGTCCTCCGGCCTGCAGGGGCACCGGGGGCAGAACGAGTGGTCTGTACAAGTCCTTCTCGGCGCTGCGAGGACCCGGTTTTCCTTCTTCGCAAAGGTCCCCATGGAGAGTAGTCTTTTCTTCCGGGATAGGGAGAGGGAACTATACCCAACAGAAATTCCCACCCCTAGAGGCAGCTCGCCCACCACTTTTCTCCCCTGCAGGGCCGCGGCTTCAGTGAGCCGAGGCGTCTCCGCTAACATCGCACACCTGGCCACCAAAAAGTACAGCCCCCTTACACGCCACGCGCGCCCAAGCCTTCCCCCAAGCAGCTACTGGCGGGAACGAGAAAAGCCCTAGGAAACAAGGCACTGGCCAACGAAGACCCGAAGGGGCAAGCCCGAAGCGGAACAGAGAGGAAGGATGGGTGGGGTGTGCGGCGGCCAACTCCGGCAATCACCCCCGCCCCAGTCTCCGAGCCCATGGGAGCCCTTTCCCGCGCAGATGTAGGTCACGGAGAAGCTCCGGCTTCTATTTTGGGCGAGAGAAGATCTGGCAGGAACATGAATAATAGATGCCCCTAAACAGCTAGTTTGGCGGCGGCTCATTCTGCGGCTGGCCCGGAGAAAGTGTCAAATACACCGGACTTCGAAAATAGCTGGGAATGAAGTCCCCCGGGGAAGGGGGGGGGGCTTTTAAATGCACTAAATAATAGTGAAGCTCTTCCGTTAGCGATGGCGGGGCGCCAGGGTCCCATTTCATCCCCGGGGCGCAGGGACAGGAGCAGCTGGGACTGGGATCAATAAGGGACCGAGAGCGAGCGGGCGCGCGGCAGGTCCGAAGATGCCCTCGCCTGCCGCCTCCATCCTTGGTTCAGGACGCGGATGGGGTGGGTTAAAACCCTCGTCCGAAAAGGCCTGGGCAAGTAGCGTTCTCTAGGGGTTGGAGTCCCTACTTCCTTAGGACTCCTGCTTGGCTCGCCTTCCAGCCACCCCTGGAGAGGCGAGGGCAAGACGAGCGCATCTCACCCCGCACCCAGCCTTCACTCGGCGACGCGTCTAAACTACGGCCCAGGTGCCGGCAGCCCCAGGGCACTTCCTGCCTTGCCCCGAGCCCAGATGCTGGAATCGTAATACTGAACCCATCTCTACGGCCAAATCAATGCTCAACGGCCCTGAAACCGAATGGTCTCGGGCGCGGCTCAGAGGAGCAGTTTTACCGGCAGAAGGCGCGCTCCTCCCCGCCCAGAGCCCGAAGCGCCACGGCTTGTGGACGCTGCGCTGCAAAGCGCGCTGCCACTCTCCGACTGACCAGACCCGGACTCCGAGGCTGCGGCAGGGAGCCCGTGCAGCTCCGGGGTCAAGAAAAAAGCTAGGATGCTAGGATTCCTCAGCCTGGGGCGGGCAGGGCTATCCTCCTGGTCCTGCCAGCCTTCTTGCTTGCTGTTTCTCCTTCCTGGCATCCGCTTTTCCCCCTCCCTTGCAGACTCATTCTTGTTCTTCCTTCTTTCAAGTCGCTTCTCCTCAACTAGCCCCGTTCTACACCCTCCTCCCTAAGGCAGTCTGGGGCTTAAAATGCAGTTGGAATATGGATCATTTGAGAGAAAGCTCTTCCAGGGGAAAGAATTCTAATTGAAGCAAAGAGGGAGGGCTGGGGAGAGAGAGGGAGACCCCGCCCGGATAGTCCCGAACTAGCTGTAACAAAGGAAAGTCTGCAAGAGCTTCGCCCTTATCCCCCGACCCGGCAGAAGTTTTCCTAACTCAGTCTAAGAATCGGAAAAAAAAAAGCCAGGCCCTGCCTTACCCCTCCCTTCCTGCGGGCGGGGCTGGGGGAGGGGAGGTCCCTCTCGGGCCAAGAGCTCTCGCCGTACCTTGGCCCCGGGGCGGCTGCGGGCTGGGGGCGGGGCACCGGGCGGCCGCGAAGCTTGCTCGGCAAGAAGCCAGGACCCGTGGCCCAACTGGCGGCGGGGCACTGGCGGGCGGGGGGAGGTGTGTGTAGCCAGGACCCAGGGAATTGCAGGAGCGCAACCAAGAGGAGGCATCCGGGGGAGGGAAGCCCAAGCCCCAGCTCGTCCCGGGCGGCCAGCTCTTACCTGATCCCGGGGAACTGCAGTCCGGCGGCGGCAGGTGAGCAGTAGACGCTGCTGTGCATTATTATCCCGTAGACCAGCAAGGCCAGGCTCGCTCCGCTACACATGGTCATTCTGCGCAGGACGGGAAAGAGAGCACACAACCGTCAGAACGCCCCTGGCCTTCCAACCCTGACCCCCGACCCCACAGAAACTCCCGGAGCTGGGGGAGGGACGGAGAGACGCTCAGGCGCCCTGTGCTGAATACTGCTTAGTGACAGCCCGCGCGCGCCCTGCCACTTTCCTCGCTATAGTTCGGAAAAAAATTATGCACACGCCCAGCGCCCTTAACTCGCCAGACCTGGTGAGTAGGAAAGCTAACTCGTTACCTGATGCCGGCAAAAGAATCAGCAGTCAAGTGAGTCGTTTGGTAAGATTTTCCCCCTTTACCATTCAACTCTTACCGCTGCGAGGAGAGGGTTTGCTGCCAAGTAGGACGGCGGGCAAAGGGTCCTCCAAGTTTCTGTGCTAGAATCGCAACCCGAGAGGCATCACCGTCTGGCGTCGGTGTCTGAGGAGAAGGCGAAGGAACGAGCAGGAGGAGCTGGAGGACTTGTTTGCTGAGGCCAGTATTCTGTTCAAAAGTTTGCAAACGCACAGAACTAGGAGGCAGCGTGACAGCGACAGAAGGGGGCGAGAGATAGAGGTAGAAGGATGAGAGAGGAGGAGGCAAGCTAAAGAGGAGGGGAGGCAAGTGGCGGCAAGTCCACAGGGAGGAAGAAGCAAGTGGTTAAAGGAAGAGAGAAAGTCGAAGATGAAAGGAAAGAAGGGAGGAAGGGCCGCGGCACAAGCGGAGTCTGTGGGAGCCGGCGGGTCAGGCAGCTGCGCGAGTCAGCAGCGCCTTCTCTCTGAGGTCCCTCTGCTTGCGTCTGAAGCTGTGGCTTCTTCTGCTGCTGCTGATGGTTACAGAGGTGACCGGCCCTCTGCTCGTATTTATATGTGCAGTTAGCAAAAATCTATCTGAACATGGTTTTAGGAGAGCCCTCTTTGTCAATATCTGCCTATTGCCTTTACAGAATATTTGGTTGCACTGTTGCGCCTCGATTTTTATTCATGAAATGACTTCCTTTTTTTTTTTTTTTTCAGTCACGTAATGATCGGGTATCAGAAAAAGACGTCAGCATCCTAGTCCCTCAAGGAACATATTAACTATTCTGTGCTGTCCTCGTGGATGATAAGATCCGGAGTCATCGACTTCTCATAAACACCTTTCACTCATACAATCCAGTTTTTAAGAAGTCCAATTATTTTGATGGTTTTCAATTTCACCCATTTCTCAAGGATGGGTAGAGAATTCATAGAATCTTTAGGATAGTTAAAGTCCTGTTTTTAACTATATCCCTACTACTTCTTTTTACTTTTTCATCAAATCCCACCAAACAGCTCTAGTTTCTGGAATGAAGCACCATCAAGCTCTCCTATTTATAAATTTAATTTAGATCTCCTAATTTCTTGCGTACGTCCTTCCAGATAGACAATTAAATGTGGAAGTCGTTTGTTTTTAAAGGGGAGTCTTGGAGGATTTTCAGTAAATCTCTAATGAAGTCTGGCTGTCGTCGTTGACAGCCTGCCTATGAGTAGATTGATTAGAGCTCAAGCTGTGTCCGGAGCTGGGCCCGTGGAGCTGTCCAGGCTCTGGGTGCTGAACTGTTTGTAGCAGATGCTACAAACATCGGGAATCGCCCGTTTTATTTTTCACCAGAGCCTGTAAAGCTGAAACATTGGCAATAGTGCCATTAATATGGCGATTTTAATTATCAAATTACCCTTATGTTCAAATACGACCCCCTTGCAATACCCATGAATGTCCTTAATGACAAGAATAGTCCCTGATCACTGACTAGATTTGAGTGAAGAGCATTGAAGTCTCCCCTTAGTCCTGATTTTTAAATCTCTAGATTGCCTATTTGGAGACCTTCACACTTTCTGTGATTCTCACTGTTTTTAAAAATTGAAATTGTACACAAAAATAGAAATTTTAAGAATTTGAAGGTGAGAAATATGTCTTTTCCACTTTATTTACAACTAGACTTCTATTTAGGGAAAGACAGTCTGGGAAGGCAGGAGGATTTCCAGTACAAGTTCACTTGCTGAGGGTTTCTAACGGGTAGCCCTCCGTTGGGAATGGTTTTTTTTTAACTGAAAATGACTGTGGGAAGAGAAAAGCAATAAGGGAAGACCGCATCCACAATGAGGCTTCCAAATCCCTGAGTAAGAAGATTCATAAATTTCTACTCCCGTAAGAGAACATGGGTCTATTTCTTTTAAAAAGGAAATCGAACCATCAATAACCATTAGTATTCATTTTAATTATTTGGATCTAAAGAATAGAGGAAATGACAATTTAGTGGGAGTGTTTCCTGGTACTATGATTTGGATTTAACATTTAAATAAGGTATATTAGTTCTGCATACTTTTTTCTGAGACATAATGTTTCTGATCTCACTGTCGTTCCCGCTCTCTTACTTGAGATGTTATACTTCCTCCAAGAAGCCAAAGTTTTGCTTATTTCTGGCCAGGAGTGGCCAGGAACTGCCCGATTGATCCTGGTTTATTCCTGGCGCTGCTCCAGATGGCCTGCCTGGAATAAAGCTTCAAACCGCATCTACATGAGGATGTTATTTCTTGTCTCCGCTGCATATGTTCCCTGATTTATGTCGGAGTGTTTACATGCGTGTGTTCCGTATTCAGCCCTGCCTCTGGAGTAAGCTCGCACACAAAGAGCCCGCCGTGAACACGACCGGATAATCAAGCAGAGACGTCTTTCTTACTAAAGCGCCCAAAGCTATTACCGAGTGTGGCTTTCCTGTCTTCCGCCGTGCTTCACGTCAAAGGTGAACCCGATTAAAATCCTTACTCTTGCCTCCCACGCGAATTCTGAAATGAGTTCAATCTATAGAAATAGTTGAAAATTTCCAAGACTCCTTGTACAAGTTCACCACTCAGCTTTAGTAAAGGGAGCCACCATGTGGGGAGTTTGTTGACTTCACGGCCTATTAAAGGGGGAAAACCACAAACAGGATTAACTTTGAGGGGAGGGTAACGGAAATGGAACTACTGCTCCAAGGGCCCCGCAAGAATCTGCACAGCGCCTTTGGTTTACAAGGCTTTGCCTCCTCCCACTCTTCTCAGTTCAGGGGCTCTCAGCGCGAAACTTAGGGCCAGGCACCCCAAAATCACAGGCCGCGAGGCCTCGACCCATTCACTGGAGTGGAAGGGTAAGCGAAGAACTTAATTTCAGATTCTTGGTCACTGAACTCCAGAAATCAAGCCCATCCATTGCTCTGCACCTTCGAAAGACCCAGCCAGCCCCGCCCCAGCTGCCTGGAGGAATGAACCCAGGTCAGCGTCGTTGTCAGCCCTCTTAACTTTCGTTGCCAACGACCATCTCGGGGCGAGTTGGGTGTCCCGCGGGCGGAAAAGCTCTCCTAGTCTCGAAAATTCTTGGTCCTGAGTCCATGCGCCGGGGGAGGCCGGGAAAAGCTAAGGGAGGGAAGGAACTAGAAGCTGAGGACTGGGCCCGAGGGCCCTGAGAGGCGAGAGTCTGGGGCTGAATCCTGCCTCACCAAATCCTAGCGCGTGAGCGCGGGCCCTTTCTGCTTTCTGTTGAGTGGAGGGGGGATACAGGGTGACTGAGGTCTCAAAGACCAAATCTACCGCCCACCAAATGCCTCCCGAGAATGACAATTTGCTTTTAATCGCGAGGAGACCCCGAACAAGCGTTAACGCCGCATTTAGGAGGACTTTGTGTCTGGGAGCTTTGGAGAGCGGCGAGGAAGAGCAAACGCGTCCGCCCGAAACGCCAGGCTGGGGAGGCCCGGAGCTGGCCTGGCACGCGCCCACGGGTGGGAAACCGCCGCCAGGCGCAGAACTTGTTCATTGCAAATGGAGGCGCCAACCCGGCATACTGTGCAGAGCGGGGCCTGGGCCTTGGGTCGGAGGGACCCTCAACTACTGCGCCCTGTGTACGAGGAGAAGGAGGAGAAAGAAGGAAAGGTGGGAGGAGTACTGGGGAGGAGCAAGAGAAGCGGGAAAAGCTTTCCAATTTTATCCTGTTCGTACCTGTTTTCTCTTTTAGAGGGATTTTCCTTCAGAGCCCCTATATAATTGAAAAATAACAGATATGGGTGTGTGGGGGCCGGGGGTACGAAGAAAGGACTGGAGAATTAGAACTTCCCATTTACAGATAATGCAAAAGAATTTTAAATCTTTCCAACGCCCCCACCAGGCGAAGTAGAAGAATTACCAGGCTGGCAAAAGTTCTCTCCAGAGTATGAAAGCGAGGACTGGCATGTAACTGGAATAACGCGCAGTTAGAAAAGTTAGTGGAGCCACGAAACCCTTCACAGTGGAAGGCCTCACCTGCGTTCCCCGTGGGGCTGGGAGTGGGAAGGCGTCAGTCTTGGGCTAAGCCCGTGGACCTTCCCGGAAGAAGCTGTTTGGAAATACTTGTCGCAGACGATAAAACGACCCAGAATTTCAAGCACCTATGTATCATCTCCTTTTTATCCCATTTGTCCTTCAGTTATGAAAACATAAATGCACATGATTATTTTAGTCTGAAATGGTGAATGCTTGATAAAAGCCGTACTAACACTTCCCTGAGTTGTTTATCCTGGCCACGAACACATGGGCTTTCCTTGAAGTTTCAAGTCTTGACCCCTCAACTGACACTCAGTTTAAAGAACTCTTTAGCCCTTGAAGAAGTGGATTTTTGTATTCAAACAAGAGGACTATTTCTAGTATATTTACTGAAAGTTTGAATTTTCAGGTGGTTTCACATAATTGGAGCCCTGGTGGTGCAGTGGTTAGGGAGCTCGGCTGCTAACCAAAAGGTCAGCAGTTGGAATCCACCAGCCACTCCTTGTAAACCCTATGGGGACAGTTCTACTCTGTCCTTTAGGGTCGCTATGAGTCAGAATCAACTCAACAGCAACAGGTTTGGTTTTTGATTTGGTTTCACAAAATAAGCAAATGCTGTAATTTTTGTATTGTCTTGTCTATGCCAGGCTTCTGCTTTTGGAACCATCTCCACTTCGAAATCTATCTGCTTTCCCTCTATTGCAACACCTTATTAAAGTGTAAGTCTTGCGCTCCCCTCCCCCATAGGCCTGGCAAAACAAACAAACAAAAACCTGTTGTGGTTTAGTCGATTCCAACTCATAGTGACCCTATAGGACAGAGTAGAACTGCCCCATAGAGTTTCCAAGGAGTGGCTGGTGGATTCGAACTGGTGACCTTTTGGTTAGCAGCCGAGCTCTTTTGCTAATCAGTGGTGAGTTAACTACATTTTTGCCTTTACGCAGACTAGTGAAATGGAGCTCAGATCCCTAGGGGAAGGCGATTTCTGAAACTGCTTTCCTTCTGGCACAGTTACCCATAGACTCACGTAGTTTCCACGTGTTCACTTTCCCTGTCTATGGCTGCGTAACTCTTCCCATTTTCCCATTCCCTTTACCACCACTATCCCCATCCCCTCACCCATCAGATTTGTTTAAAGATACAAAAGGGGATTTTCAAACAGAGCATCTTCACACATTCCTAGTATAAATAATACTAAATCAGGACTGGAAAAGTCTTACATTCCTATTCCATTTTTTTTTTAGTCAATACTTAGCATAAGAACCAGTCTAGGGTGAGCTTTTTTGGTGAACAAGCTTGAAGCACAACATCATCCTCTCACATGAGTGACAAAAGTGAATTACAACAGTATTCAATTTCACTCTAAACTTTTTATCTTCTGACTCTTCCAGACAATGTGATGGCTAATGATTCACTTCATACCGATTACACCTGTAGGGAAACCCGAATGTTCTGCAGCAGAACATCATGACCATCACTTACTGGACTGCCTGCATCATGCCCTGCTGAACTCACTGGGAAGGAAGGCACTGATGAGCTTATCCATTATGTGTCATGCCTCCACTGACCTTCAGAATTTAGTGCTTCACACACTGCGAACAACCAGCAAAGGAAGCCTTTCCAAACCACATGAGCAAAGCATCTGTAATCCAAGACAGAATTGCATAGTCACAGGGCCAAGCAATTTTGCCTGTTGTTCTAAGACACAAAGCAGACACCCAAGAAGAAAAACCAGGATCTAACTACACTTTGCTGCAGGTTTGGTGATTTCAACTGTCTCATGTATGTGGCTCTGTCAAGGCCTTGTTCCCTGAATATTAGTTTACTGGGTAGCAAAAATAGATTCCCCAAATTTCACTGTGTAGGATCTGCCAAATTCTACCGAGATTTCCAGAGCATATCCTTTTCAAAAACAAAGAGAAGGAACTCTTTCCTCTATCAGTCTAAATCCTCTGTTCATATAAGACTTGAATGTAAGGGGGAAATCTTGGAGAGTATCTGGAAACCCAATATCCTAAATGAGTTTTTGTGACAGCTGCTGAAAGTGTTGGAAAGGGTATTTGTACACAAAATAAAACAAGAGTTTAATATGTAAACCAAAAGAGGATATGCTTTATGAGTTCTTACCATCCCAAACCTCTGCCCTGTAGACTCAGAATCAGCCTAAGCTACCTGTGAATAGGTCTATTTGTAATAATTTTGGAGTCTTTGTTTCTCATTATTCTTAATACTAGCACTGTGTGGTAATAACAACTCTGCAAATACTTTTCAACTAATCCTTTCTGTCCAGTCGAGTATGCATAGGCATGACAATTTTTTCTTTAAACCATCATACACTTAGAATACAATTATGTTTGCCATTGGTTTGTTATTGGGAGTCCTGGTGGCACAGTGGTTAAGCACTCAGCTGCTAACTGAAAGGTCTACTGTTCAAACTCACCAGGTACTCTGCGGAAGAAAGATGTGGCAGTCTGCTCCCCGTAAAGATTACAGCTTTGGAAACCCTATGGGGCAGTTCTACTTTGTCCTATAGGGTAGCTATAAATCTGAATCTACTCGACAGCAATGCGTTTTTTGTTTTTTGGTTTTTGGTTTTTTTTTGCTATTTGGAAACTTTAATCATTATTCTTTAAATTCTTTCAAATCCTTCTTTCCAAGGGTACTGCATGACTTTGCTACTCCCCTGTTAATAACAGCAACGATGACAACAGTAATAACTCTTCAGTGAGTGCTTGCGGTGCTAAGTGCTTGACTAATGTTATTTTCTTTATCCTCATGACAACTTTCTTTGCTGACATTATTATCTCCATTTTACAGATAATAATCTGAGGCTCAAAGACGTTAGGTAACTTACCAAAGTTGCTTCATTGTAATGCAGAGATTCAAATTCAAGTCTCAAAGCTTCTAGACAGTCTTAATGACCATACTATGTTATAGTTACACTGACTTACATACTTATGTTCTCTAGAGTTGTTATGGGGCCCTGGTTGCAGGATGATTAAGAGCTTGGCTGCTAACCAAAAGTTTGGCAGTTCGAATACAGCAACTGCTCCTTGGAAACCCTATGGGGCAGTTCTGTTGTAACATACAGGGTCACTATGAGTTGGAATCAACTCAACGGCAACAGGTTTGTTTTTTTAGAGTTGTTATAAATACAAATTACTAATATAATGTCAACCTTAACCTGTGACTCAATTCAACTGAAAAGAAAATAGGTTTCTTTTCATATTAGTTTTCAAATTAAAAATTATGTTTAATGTCGTAGAAACCAAATGTTATTAACACAGTAGAAACTGGTTAAGCTAGACTACAAACATATCACATAGTCATAGACTTTGCTTTAGAGAATAGATATGTTTCTAAAACTATGTGCATTAATAGCGTACCACATATTCTTATTAACATATATCAAATTATTGAAAAAGTAAAAAATATTGCCACTTTCAAGCTATCATTTAAAGTAATTCTATTCTTAAGAATGCAGCAAAGGTTTCAGTGATGTGTTTCAATTTAAAAAAAAAAAAACTCCTAAGGTTTTCTAAAATCATCATTTAATGAGCTGTACGTAATTCAATACCACAGAAATCGTATTGTTGCCAGTGAGTCAAGACCTGTGTGAGTCAAATGAGATGATGCATATAAAAATGCTTTACAAACAATAGATCTTAGGCCAGGCCAGTATAAGGGAAGAGAAGAAAACATTTATTGAGCTCCTTCTTGCATAGCAGTGGTATGCTCTGTGTCAGCAGCATTGTCTCATTTAATCCTGTTGTTACTCTGTGAGGTAGGTATGGTATTATTATCACCATTTTTAATGATGGTTAAACTGAGACTCCTCAAGGTTAATTAACTTGCCCAAGGCCACACAGCTAACAAATTCTGAAGCCAGGTTTCAAACCCAGACTGACTATTTCCAAAGCTGATGTTCTTTCTCCTACCAATTGGTCTCCTTGTTATCCTTGTATAATTACTATTGTTATTAAAGGGGAAAAGAAACATCAGAGTTCCATAAAAGCACAATGATTCCTTAACAAAACATCAATTTAAAGACAGTAGTTCGAACAATTCTTCTTGCTGGTTTCTTAACATTGTAAAATAAGTGCAGAGGTTATGTGTCAGTATAATTTGCAGGAACATTTCAAAAGCAGTAAGTAATGAATAAGGTTGCACTACCAGGTGTTGAAAGGTGTTATGAAGTTGCAGTAATTAAAACAGTGTAGTGCTGATGAAAACAATAGATCAGAGGAATGAATACAAAGTATATCAGTATAAAGAATCAAGCACTATTATGTAATTTCCAATGAAATAGTATGATACTGGGAGAATTCACTGTCCATTTGGAAAAAGAAAATTTAGATTCCTACTTCATATCTTACAGTAACATCAAGTATTTTTAAGTGCATTAAAGATTTAAAGTAAAAGAAAATCATAAAAATACCAGCAAAATATAATTTTAGACTTGGAAAGGAAATTTTAAGACTGACAATTAAAAAGAAACCATAAAGAAAGAGACTGATA